GGGTACTTCCATAAAGGCTGCCTTTTAGGAGAGACTTTTAGGCTGTTTATCCATTCAAAAAATGCTACCATTGCAGCCCAGGAGCTTCCCTCTCCCCGCATGTCCCAGCGGCCTGAAGGTGAAGGTGAATTCCTGTTTATTTCCTTAAGCAGCTCTATTCATAGCCTTCAAAAGCTGCCAAGCCGCATCTGTCAGGCCCAAGAGGACTCGAAAGTGCATCTTAGGTAAACACCAGGAGCAAGGTGGGACTGCCCAGAGTTAGCGGTTCTCCCTTGAAATCCTTATTCCATCCTCTGAAAGCCATAGGCACATCTCCAGTGCAAGGTCTCAAGCAAAAATGAAGTCAGGCTCAGACACCAGACTGTAGTTCAGGCACGCAACGTCCCCATGTCCAGGATTAATAGACAACAGCCCACTGCAACAAGGGAAAGAGGCAGGGAGGTTCTTTGGATATTAGAGATACTGGAGGTGCCCAGATTGCGCATGGGAGCTTCAAAGTGGATGAAGAACTGTCCCACCTGCTGGTGCCTGGTGTGACAGCTCCAGGGGACTCTGCCATAGGACATGGTGGGGATCTACAGCCAGAGTGGTTTCTATCTACCACTCCCTCTGGGTGTAGCTGGGGACAGGCACAGATGAGATGTTCAGACCTGATGCCCACATGAGGCACCGAGGGCAGTGTGGCAGTAGCTGCAGCATACATTGCTCTCTACTTGCACCACGGCTGAGGAAGCTGATGGATTATTTTGTCCCTGCTTCTCTGGGCTCAGTTTGGTTTCAGAGACAACTGATAGGCTTCTCCCAAGCCTGCAGCCCCACGTGCTCCCAAGTGAGTGAGGTGATCATTGCAGGGGTAGTCTGAAAGAGATGGGGGAGAGATCTCCCCTACGGGCACAGGAAATACCTTGGACCAGAGACACCAGGACAGTGTGAGAGCCCACGCACGGCATGAAAAGAACAAGCCATCCTACAGCAAGTGTGTTTTGTGTCCTGGCTCCGCAGCTTGACTCACCACAGAGCCACGCACAGCTGGATTTCACCCCCAGCCCCGCAGATCTGTGGTGCACACTGAAAATCCACAGTGATATCCACTGCTCCTTGTCCATCTGCTTCTGACAGAGCCAGCCCCCCATCTGCCTTCATTGCCCACTGAGCCAGCTCACCCCCAGTCCATCTCAGAGTGCATCCCAGCACTGGAAGGGACCTTGGCTGGGTTTCAGTCTGTTCCATCTGAACAAGGCATAAGTCCTGCTGCTGAGCCCAAGGAGAGAGTCCCATCCCACTGTGAAGAAATCCTTGGCCCACGCAGGACAAACACAGCCACTCCTGGACAAGTTCCCAGGACAGTTTGGGTTGATCCTTCCCTGAGCAGCTGGTGCTTTCAGTGTCCATGCATGTGAGTCTAGAGAGCACAGGCTTTCTGCCTCTGATCTGCTGCTGAAATGGAAAAAGCCAGAAACCCTCCTGCAGGACCTGCTGACACACTCCCAGATAGCAGGAGAGCTGCGACATTCCTCAGATAAGCAGATTCCAATCTGCTCTGCACTTCATCATCTCACTTGCCTTCTCCTCAGCTGGGTGCTGGGCTCCCACTCCAGCAGCCATTGCCTTTCCCCACACTGCCCTGAGCTCAGCCTCACACCCAGCGATGAAGACAGTAAATGATATCCCCACAGCGGTTCCAGGGCATCCTGTTTATTTATATGCACTTTGGGTTCATTGTTTTGCAGCAGCATCCACCAGCAATTAATGCAGAAACATCCTCTACAGAAAAACTCATTAGAGAATCCCTCCCAGAGTTGAGAGCAGGAAAGACTTCTCACACCGACAGATTGGTGACTGGGAGACAGCAGGGTTGTTGGTCCGCACTTGTATCCCTTCACCAAGATGCTTGCTCACATTTCTCTCCTTCTCTTGCAGAACTGTTGCCCTTTTGCAACTGGGGTTTTCTCAACTGCTCCAGCCTAGATCTGCCCAACCTGGCTTAAATTGGGGTTGAAGAAACTTGGATTTTGAGCTGGGGGTAGCTGCAGTTCAATCCTCAGCCCTGCAAACCCCTTGACTCTGCTGTGAACTAAACTGCAGGCTCAAGGGGTCTTGTCTTGTTTGCCGTTTCCATCAGACTTTGTGTGGTTGCTTGACCTGGAAGTGAGTCCTGGGAGCCCTCGGGTGCATCAGTTGTGCGCAAACCACCCTCTGGCATGTGGTCGGAGCTGGACCTGTGAGGCCAGCAGCAATGGGAAGGCTCCCGGGGCTGATGGGGTCCTTGGGCGATCTCCTGCCCAGTGTTCCAGAAAGCATAGGACAACCTTGTAAGCATGTGTGAGGTCCGCTTTTCCTCCTGGCAGCCTCACACCAAAATCTCCTCTTTGACAACCCCACTAAGCCTTGTAAATGTGGAGAGGACTTCTCAGGACTTCCTCTGCAAGCTCTGGAGCTTCTTAAAGCTGCTGAGATTAAAGAGCCAGCCACTTGCTCTGGGCTCTCTCTGTGCAATCCCCCTGCATCCTACTGCTGACAAGGCACACCTAGTGCTGGCACTGTGCCCCTCACAACGCACAGGACCCGGCTGTCCCCACCATGTACATGGAGGACCCTGAGGACCCTCACTCCCACCCACCCTGGGCTCACCACCAGGAGCTCGAGGGCCGTATCCAGATGTGGCTGCATCACTGCAGAGGCTGCTTTTTGCTTTCACCCCAAACAAGGGTGGAAGCCACCACATATATAAAGAAATCCCCGTTATAATTATCTTCCTGGCGCTGTCATTTGTCTAAGCCCTTAGAAGAGGGCTTAGCTCCGGGCTATGGTGAAGAGCACTAAGCAATTGCCACGTTGTCAGTTAGAAAAGACGTGGTTTCTTTTCTTTTCTAACCCCCCCCCCCCCCCCTAAAATTTTTTCCAGATGTCTTTTTGGCTTCTTTCCCTTCGGAGCAGTACCAGCAGCTGGCGATTTCAATGTGAGCCGTGACTAATCCAGCACAGAGAGCATTCAACGGGAGCACTCAGCTCCTCGGGGTGTGAATCAAGCAAATGAAACTTTGGCTTTAGGGATATGTGACCTCTGGAGCCAAACTGGGCCTGCGAGTGGCACTGAGCTGCACGTGGGAGCTATGGACACCGGTCGTGGGAGATGATGCTCCAGATTTCACAAGTAGTTTGCTGTGCTAGAAGGACCCATGAGGTCTTAGACACAAAACCAGGCTCCACATGGACCAGGGAGGGTCGTGTTGGGTTTATGGATGTCTTTGTGAGTGATATCAATAACCACGTACCAGCACTCAGGGGTAGCTTTTGAGTGGTGTGTAGCCAAGTAAAGTAATGGGTGAAGAAGACTTTCTTTTCTTTACCAACAGAAGCTGCCTGGTCACAGAGATCGACCATCTCACTGGGGAGTGATGATGGTTCTCACAGCCACCTCCACTATCTTTCCCCTCCCGTTTCCCTTTCTGTTTTGTTTGGGTTGTGTTTCTCGCTGGCCATGTGGATATTTATTTTAGAAAGAAACATCTGCTCCTTTCACATGCAGCAGAAGTGCTGCAAGGCCGGAAGAGGGGTGACCTGATAAAATAATCACAGTTCACAAAGTAACAAGAATCCTATAGAGCAAGGAGCCAGCACAGCCCAGCAGCTCGTCACAGGCCAGTTCCTATGTCGACATCTACAGCCTCAGCAACATCAGTGGGAAGAGACGCTCGGATCAGTGTCTCAGCCCCTCTCAAAGAGAGTGCAATCATGAGGAATAAACCCAAACCCTAGGCAGCCAAGATAAAACATGATGTTGCATTTTGTTATGGTCTTGGGTTATCCTTCACCCAGCATCCACAATCACACTGCTGGTGCCCAGATGACTTACCCTCAGTCCTGCAGGCTACACAAGCCACCATCTTTCCATCAGCCCCTGCAGGGGAACCTTGGTCCCCTGGATATGTGAGAGTTAGTGCCATAGGTGGATAACAAGCTGCAAAGAGCTGGACTATGTGTAGTGACTATGGACAGCTCTGTATGTCATAGAGACACTATTCAGGTATGCCCAAATTCCAGCAAAGTGACAGCATCTCTTTTTGGCCACTGGTTTTACTTTGCAAGCAGCGCCACGGCCATGCTGGTGCATAAAGGCGTGCTGTCTGGTTCTGCCAGGGGAGCAGGTGAGCTTTAAATCCTCTTGGTCATGGTGAGATGCAAGAAGAGAGGAGCTGGGTTTTTCACTCTGAGCATAGAGAGGAACAGATGGGAAAAGTCAACTCCAAACCTCTTTGCTGTCTGGCTGCTGCCTCTGGCTGGGTAACTCCAGCTGAGTTACAATCTGTAAGGTCAAAATAGTTTGTGATGTCCAAAGACACCATCAGATTCAAGTGACCAGCAATTCTGGCTGTGAGTTTTGCTCGGTCAGTCCAGATCTGCTGGGCAGTAGCCACAGCAGAGAGTCCAATCTGCTGAGGGTCACATCTGCCAGCCCAGCATTTCTCTGCTTAGTTGGAGCACATTTCAGACATGTCATAACTCTCCACACTCTCTGGATCATTCTTTCCCCTCCCTTCCCGCAAGGCAGTCCCATATAGCCGCAGTGTTAAGAGAGAGGATGGAGGAACAAGAAATCTCTTGCCTTTCTCTGCACCCCCCTGAGGATGGGAAACACCAGCTCCGGGACTGCACTACACTGTTGTGAAATGACAGCAGTTAACATGTTAATTGCAGTAGGCTAAGGTGCCAGGAGGTGCACAAACCAAGCAGAGATGGTATTTCTCCCTTCTCCCACCATGCTCTTAATCCAAGAGAGCCAGAGAACTGACGAACTCATTGCAGCAGTGCAAGGAGCTGCTGTGACAATGACTCTATACAGAAGGTTGTGCTGGGGGGCTGCAAGAGACCCCCTTGATCTCCATCCCTGCTTGATTTCTCTGGTCTACCCCTTGGACCCAAGCTGTGCCTCAGCCCTCCGTGGGACTGCCCACTGGGGAGAGAGGGAGAGGAAGAGCCCCATTTGAAAAGATAGCGAGGAGGAGGAGGAGGTGGAGGAGGAGGAGAGGCAGCAGGAAACCCAGCCCACCCTTTGGCTTCCTCCTGCCTCCTTCTAAAACCTGCAGACTCCTCCAGCCCATCCAAGCGCCTGAAGTTCCCTCAGCCCCGCTGCTGGACTGCGAGGTATGGCCCGAGAGCTCCGTGTTGGCCTTTGCTGTGCTCTTTCTCCCAGCATAGGGGTCCTGATAGCCCCTCTAATGGGGGTCCCTGCTCCAGGAGCTGCTGTCCCAGCCCGTGGGGTGCACCCGGTGCTCGGCAGCGCATTGCTTGGGATGGGGATGTGGACGCTCCCCACCCCAAGTGTTGCATTCAGAGATCCCTCCTGCCCTTTTCTCTTTCTCCTCTTTGCAGCATCTCCACTCCTAAACTGAGGCTGTTGCTGTATTTCGCTGCCAGGTTACTAGCTTTAGCACTTGGATGGCATCTGTAAAGGTTTAACCTCCCGCTAAAGGTTTTTCTCTCTCCTCCTTTTTTCCTCTCTGGGTTCTCAGCTGTGGGGTATTCCCTTAGCAAGGTGTGCAAGACCAATATCTGTGCACATCAAACTGACCTGCAGAGCAAATCAGATCTAGTTACAGACCAGTGCCGAGGTGCGTTGGCAGGTGAAGTTTTACTCACCAGTTATCGAGGGGTAGAACAAAAGAGCTTTCGACTTCATCTCAGCATTTTTATTCTTTTCAGTGCAGCCGCTCTTGTTTCTCCTAAAAAAAATACCCAAAAAAGACACTCAGCTTTTTGTTCCAAGCAGACTTTGAAACCATTTCAAGTCCTGCTGCCCTGGTTTGTTTAACTCCAGCTGATCGCCTCTTAGAGAGATGGAGGCTGCAGGAGAGGAGGAACAAAGCTCTCTTGGGGTTTCTTTTTAGATTTTAAGAACTTGGGCTCAGTCAGGGACGATTTTAGGTCCATGCAGAAGGAGTTAAGAGCTTGTTGCCTTTAAAGGCAGCTGCTGCCCTTGCTGTCCAGTGACATGCGTGGCAGGCTAACTGCTCTTTGTGTCCCTCCTCTGCTGCATCCAGCCCAGAGAAGGAAACTTCACAGGATGGGGGCTAAATTCCCACCCAACCCCAAAGGCAACTGTCTGGGGGCACCGGGAGGGTTGCCAGGGATCTGAGCCCTCACTCACCACCAATTTGAAACAGCCCCAAACCTCTGCAACACGGCAGAAGTAAACCACAGCCGTTTGTTAGGCTTGAACGGGCGAGTCTGAAGTGGACATAAAAGGCTGTTGCGTCCTGCACAGCAGCTAAAGCCAAGCCATTGTCTGCCACATAGGCAGGAGCAGGGATGCGGGCGGTGTCGGGAGGGGGAAGAGCAGAAATAAACTTTTCAAGCATTTTTTTTCTCAAGCCCCTCCTTCCACAACTCTGCTCTTCCATGACTCAGCCCCAGAGGAATGTCGGCTCCCATGGAAACCCTTTCTGGGTCCTCTGGTCGGAGGGATGTCGGGGCTGCTATCGCTGGAAGAGCGCAGGGAATGCTTTGAAGAGGGTTTGTGTTTTGGAGATATTCAGTGAACAGTTTCTTCTCTCCCTGCTTTGTGGAGCTGTGTGAGAGCAGCTTGCTGTGTCCCCCGGGAGCCAGGGGGACCGCTTGCACTGGCACAGAAGTATCCCGGCTGCTTTTGACACTGTCCCGCATCCAAACCAAGCAAGAGCTCAGTCAGGACAGGAAAGTGCTCTGTCGCCTGGTTTGCCCACTGAGGTGTGCAAAGGGCTCACTGGTGCACATCTGCTTGCAGCCCAGGTCTCATCCAGGCTCTTTTCTTGGTATTGTAATAGTTTTCCATTATGGATGCAATTTGCCAGCAGGAAAACTGTGACAGCATCAAGCCAGCACACAACCCCAGTGGTGTCTGAGCTCTTGCCCTTATGACAATAGCCCTGCAAGTTCTAGAGCATTTATAAGCACAGAGCTGCTCAACCATTTGCAAGGGGAATGGGTTAATAGCATTGTGGCGTAGATGTGTCTTTAGTGACTCTGCATGGACAGATGTGGTACCTTGATTTTTTTCCCCTGTGTTTTACTCAGTGTGTAAGTGTGTGCATGAGTTAAAGGGAGCTTCACTCCCATCTAAACTTAGCCTGGCTTTCTGAGCCTGCATGCTGCGTGCCAGGGCACTGCTCAGGAGCCAGGATGGTTTCTGTCCTCTGCTCCTGCCCTGCTCTTCTGGGTCTCAGTGGGTGAGCCGGCACCCCCAGCAGCACACCCTGACACACAGGGCCCTGTTCAACAGGGAGCTTTATGGGGGACTCACACAAACAACTCTGACTTCAAATTGAATTTCAGCCCTTGCCTTGTCTCTTGGTCACCCATCTGCACCTTGAAAGCTATGGTCCATTGTGGGGTTTGTAGCAGAAGCCTTCTTATGGGCTGGTGCTGCCTTTACATTCAGCTGGAGGTGCTGGGGCATGGCAGACCCTGCAGAGCCTTGGAAGAGCAATGAGCAGATGGAGGGTGGGTGCAGGGGACCCTGATGCTCAGCCTGGCTGCCTCCTGCATGGCCAGGCTGGGTGCTGGTGGGGAGGTAAGACATAAGGAGGGGTTTTGCCCAACAATTACGCACTTCTGCTCCTCACTGCTGGTGATGGGAGGTGGTAGCAGGGCCCCTCTCCTGGAACGTGGAGGCATCTGAGGTTATCCCAGTGGCCTCAGGGAGGAGCTGTCAAAGTGGCCAGGCAGAGACTCCTCCCCACGCTAACGTGGCATCCCAAAGGGCTTATGCAACTGTGGCCGTGGCCAGTGCCACATGGGCCATGCTCCACCATCCACAGAGCCTCCTCCAGAGGCTGCAGCCCTGGTCCTTGTTCTCCTCCAGACCACAAAGAGCCCCAGGATAGGTGGGAGGAGAAAAGAGGGACCCATAGAACCCAGCGCACAAACTCCTCCATGCATCACTCTGGGGTGTTTTCTCCAACAGGAGAAACCTATGATGATGCTACAGGATTGGGGTGAGGGTGGTAAAGAGCTTGCCAGGTTAGCCTGCTTTGAACTTATGGAGGTGTTGAGGATCAGCCTCAGACCTCCCTGTCCCCTGTGGCTCTCTTGTTAGGGACGTGTCTGCAAAGTGCAATGAGCAGCCGGCACTGAGATAGGCTGGACCCTGCTAGAAAGGTGAACTTTCTAACTAGAGAGGGGTGTATGGGAGCCGCAGGACCCCATTTACACAGTGACTATGAGTTGAAGTCCCCACTTAGGATGCAAGTGGGATCAAGCATTAGAAAGGCTGCAGGCCATGGGTGCCAGGCTCTCTTCTCCCTCATCAGCAGTCAGGAGGGTAGGCCTGAGGAGGGGATGGTGACCATGGAGGCTTCTCTTTTTTATATTCAACATCCCTCTCTGTGCCTACATCATCCTGGTTTCCAGCATCTTACAAAGTGCTGGATTCTGTTGATCCCTTTAGGATACTGAAGGGTATAAGTCCCAGCTTGCTCAAATCTCACAGGAATACCCCTCAAGCTGCTCTGGCTGGGGGATGGATGCTGAGCTCATGGTATATGGCCCAGCTGCCAGCTCCAGAGAGCATCCTCTTAGACAGCAGGACCACAGTAGGTCTATACACAGACTGGCACCGTGGGCTAGGTTATTCTGTGACACAGCTCTGTGCACAGGGCTCCTGAGCTGTTATTTCAGGACTTAGGCCACCAGACACTGAGGAATGCCCATGCCTTTGCAGAGGAGCCAGGGGCTCACAGACGCTGCAATGTGCTCTGTGCACAGGCTCTGCCTCCAGAAGGATGTTGTTTTTCAAACAAACTTGTTTTCCCATCTCTGGTGCGAGACAGCTCTGCAGAGGGTGTTTGCTCAGACTCTTTCGCGCTCCTTCTTCCTCCAAACACAACACCAGCAGCTCCGACTGTCTGCTGGCTCCTAGCAAGTATGTAATTCCCTGACCCCGGCCTATTGCATGCCCAGACTTCAAAATTCAAAGGTTTTGGGGGGCCTGAGGAAATGATCTGGAATGGCCTTGGTCTGCATTTGGGTCCTTCTTAAAGCCATCTTCCACATGTACATCTCCTCAAGGCTGGGCACTGCCATGTTTCTGCCCAAAAAGCATCACTGAACCTCAGAGCACCTTCCAAAGCAAACAAGCCCCTTGGGAGAAGCCCAAGAGGAGCCTTTACAAGCCAGGAGATGGCAGCAAAGGAGGAGATGGCCGGATTCACTGGTACTTTTCCACCTCCCCACCACAAACCACCCCTCCAGAAGTGAAGAACCAGTGATCTCTCCTGGCAAATGCTGGAAGAGCTCTCAGCAGCCTCCAGAGTAAATAAAGGCAATGGGAAGGGACAGCATGTACCAAGTGGGAGAGGAGGGAGCTGCTCAGCTGCAGCCCCTCTCCCCACAGGTCCTCCATCCCACTGCAGCAGCCATTCCCACCAGTTCCAGCCTTCCAGCATCCCTTGGGAAAGTGCCCTCCATGCCCTGATACCTGCTTTGCATGGGCAGCCTGCCGGGGCAGGGTGAGGCACTGAGATTGGAAGGAGATTTCAGCCTCTGTGTGGCCAAACCCTGCTAAATTAGGAAGCAGAGCTCAGGCTGGCTGGTGCCCTGGCAGCACAGCACTGGCATGGCTTTATACCCAGAGAGCTGCTGTGCATGGGGAGGATGGGAAAGGATGCACTGACAAATCAGATATCCATCCACGCTCAGAAGATGACACCATAGAATGGTTTGGTTTGGAAGGGACCTTCAAAGCTCATCCAGTCCAACCCCCTGCAATGAGGCAGGGACACCTTCAACTAGACCAGGTTGCCCAGAGCCACATCCAACCATGCAGGTGGAGAGGAGGAGGGCGGGCGGAAGGGAGGCAGCGGAAGCCTTGGCATGGGGACAAGTCCCCTCGCTGTCAGGAGACAAACCAGGGGTGTTTGGCTCTCTCGTCGGGCGGAAGGGAGAGGGCAGCCCTAGCTATTAGGAGCGGGATGCTGCTGGCATATTAAGCTGCCATCTGAGCTCCTCTCTGCGCTCACACAGAGGGGCTCAATCCTGCCAAACAGGAACTGGGAGGGGGACAAGGACAGGGTAATTTCACCAGCTGCATTCTCCTTTTGGCTTGTATTGCAGCCAATGTTAGCTGGGCTGTCTGGATCTTTCATCCTACACAGTCCCTGCAACAGCCCAGATTAGGAGGGTGCAAAGGAATCACTCTCCTCGAGGTCAAATCACAGCATCCCAGACTGGTTTGTGTTGGAAAGGACCTTAAAGCTCCTCCAGTTCCAACCCCTGCCATGGGCAGGGACACCTTCCACTAGAGCAGCTTGCTCCAAGACCCTGTGTCCAAGCTGGCCTTGAACACTGCCAGGGATGGGGTATTTCCCAGCAGGACACAACCCCAAAGCATCCTGGATCCCTCAAACCCAGCTGGGGGACCCTCAGGTCTGAGTAGGAAAAGAAAAACTATAGTAAAGACCCCAACATTTGGGGGTGCTGGGGAAGGGAGACTGGTCCCTGATACCCCTACAAATGTCTGTGTCCATGTGGGAAGGGGTTTTCTAAGGGAATTAATTCTCAAGTGCCCCATCTCACTGACTCTTTGCTATCTCTTTCCTTCCTCCACTTTCATGTTCCATCTGGTTGACAAACCAAATGGTGGAGTTTCATTGCTTGTACCTGGGGCTCATATCGGGGCCTTTTAACATTATAAAATTGAGGGTTGGGTCCAAAATCTTGGCTCCTTTCCTGTGAGGAAAAGGGGAACTGCCATTTTGACTGCAATTTCTCTAAAGGCATCCAGGAAAGCAACAGAAATCTAAACCCCTGCAGTCCCATTTTGCAAAATCAAAAGAATTTGTGTTGGAAACATGATTTAGCTTAAGGTTTTGGCTACAAAAGCCAGCATGTGGGTCTGTAATATTGAACAGACGAGGCAGAAACAAGAGAACACCCTTTTCTAAGTGCCTGACTGCCAGCCGTGAGCTCGGCCTGGAGCCCAGCGGCACATAGTGGCCTCCTTCCTCATCCCTCCTTTTCCTCTCCTTTATTCAGGGTCTGCTGAAAGATGAGGGCCTGGATCTTTTTCCTTCTCTGCCTGGCAGGCAAAGCCCTGGCAGCTCCGGTAAGTAGAATGGACAATGGAGCTTCTTGCTGTCACGGTTGCCCATCTGATGTATTTGATGGGGATTTTCTTCTATAAGGAATAAACCCCTGAGGGATGGGGGGAGAGGAAACCCAGTGGGTCATCCCCCCCACAGACTCCATCTCATGGTCCCTTTCCCCTACAGCAAGAGGCTCTGCCCGATGAGACAGAGGTCATTGAAGATCCCACCACAGAGGTAGGTGACTGCTCCTCCTCATCCCATCCCACCCACGGCTCTGGGAAGAGCACCTCCAAAGCATGAGGGAGCAGGGGCAATGGGGAGGATGCTCTGCCCGTAGGATCTGGTACTGAGCTTTTTGTGCACCCCCAGCAGAAACAATGACCTCTTTTGCAGGAGCCTGTGGGGGCCAACCCCGTCCAGGTGGAGGTGGGAGAGTTTGAGGAACCCACAGAGGATGTAGAGGAGATTGTCGCAGAGAGTAAGTTGCTCTTCCCCCTGCCCTCCAGCAGGCAAAGACATTGTCCCTTCCCTGGGGAAGAGTGGGGGAGCTTCAGCCACCCCTAACAGCAAGGAACTTCTTTGGGAAGGGTAAAAAGCACAAGGACAATGCCAACCTAGATTCACGTTTAAAGCAAGAGGAGTATTCTCTGCAGCATTGCCATTGCATTGTGTGACTACAGAAGGGAGCTCAGGGATAGCCCAAGGGCTAACGCGGACTTCTGGGAACCCTCACATCTTCCCAGTGCAAGAAGAGGTGCTCAGGGCTCTCCCTGGTGAAGTTTCTGTCTTCCCTGTGTGCTGAGACCCTGGGGAGCTCATGGCAGGTGAGGATGGGGCAGGCTCTGACTTTGCTCCCTGCCCTCTCGCAGATCCCTGCCAGAACCACCACTGCAAGCATGGCAAGGTGTGCGAGGTGGATGACAACAACTCGCCCATGTGTGTGTGCCAGGACCCCTCCAGCTGCCCAGCCACTGCTGGTGTCTTCGAGAAGGTGAGGACAGAAACTGCTTAATGGACCAGAGCAGGAAAAGACCCCACATGGGACATCCCAGAGATGGGGGAGACAAGTCCTGCTTGTCTCCCTGTCTGGCCTGTCAGTGGTGACCAAGAGTCATTGTTCACCCCAGGAAATAAGTTAAACATCTCATTTGGAGGCTGTCCCTGCTGACTCCCCAGCAAGGCTGGGCTTCGCTGCCTCTCACACAGCATCTCCCCATCCTGTGCAGGTCTGTGGCACTGACAACAAGACCTATGACTCCTCCTGCCATTTCTTTGCCACCAAGTGCACCTTGGAGGGAACCAAGAAGGGACACAAACTGCACCTGGACTACATCGGGCCTTGCAAATGTAAGTGGAGCCGTTCCCTTAGACAAGGGGACCCCTAATCTGAGTACAGCCCTCTTGCCCGTGGGCTGAGGGAGAGCAAAGGTCCAGGCAGGCTCAGGGATGAGGTGGGAGGGCTCTGGGGCTGCATGTCCAGACACTGCCCTGAGCATCCCATATGGTTTCCAGTCATCCCTGCCTGCCTGGACACAGAGCTGACTGAGTTCCCCCTGCGCATGCGGGACTGGCTCAAGAACGTGCTGATCACCCTGTACGAGCGCGATGAGGACAACAACCTGCTGACCGAGAAGCAGAAGCTCAAGGTGAGGGACTGGGGAGGGAACCTGGGAGCTCACCCTACCAGTGGAGCCCAGCACACATGGGAACCCATCAGAATGAGCTGTGGGCACCTCCTAAGGTTCTTGCACCCCATTCACCTTCTGACAAGGTCTCCATGGCCTCTCCTATGATAGGTGAAGAAGATCCATGAGAATGAGAAGCGCCTGGAGGCTGGAGACCACACCGTGGAGCTGCTGGCCCGTGACTTCGAGAAGAACTACAACATGTACATCTTCCCCGTGCACTGGCAGTTTGGGCAGCTGGACCAGCACCCCATTGATGGGTGAGTGTCAGCAGAGCAGGATGGGGACCATTTCCTGCCCAAGGACCAGGGTGATTTGGTGACAGAAGGTGTCGAGGCAAGGTGGAGATGTAACACAACCTGGATGGTTGCAGAGGCACAGGCAAAGGGACAATGCATGGAGCAGGGACTGGGACAAACCAGGCTGGAGTAGAGGCAGTTTTACCTTCATTTCTGCAGAAAGAGAGGCCTCCCCCTGCCCCAGCTGCTCCCATCCCCTTTGGGTGTGGAGTTTCTGCCTTCTCAGATTTACTGTCCTATAATAGTTCCCTAAAATATCTTAGTCCAAAGGCCCTGGGATAACTTCAGCAGCTGAAAGAGCAGCTGTTGGCATAGCTGGAAGCTGGAGATGGGCATGAGAGTGATCACACACCCAGACCCAAGGGGTAGAGGTGAGGGGGGCCCATCAGCTGCTGGCTCTTTTGTGACTAGCACAGTGGGTTGCAAAAGCAAACACCAGTCCTTGACCTTCATGACACCCAGTGGCTGATACTGGGAGGGCACTGGGACAGTGGTCAAACCAGACAGAGAGCTGGGACGAGCATCTTGCCCTGTGCTGGCCCCTGCACATGCCAAAGCATCTCCCTTCCTATTGGGAGGGCAGTTAGTGCTGGCAGGCGATGCATTGACCATGAGGGCACCTTGCAGGTACCTGTCCCACACTGAGCTGGCCCCTCTCCGTGCTCCCCTCATCCCCATGGAGCACTGCACCACTCGCTTCTTCGAGGCTTGCGACCTGGACAACGACAAGTACATTGCCCTGGAGGAGTGGGCCAGCTGCTTCGGCATTAAGGAGCGTAAGTACTGAGATGGGAAGGAATGGGGATGGAAAGGACATGGAAAAGCACCCACAAAAGCCCACACAGCCGGTCCTGGGGAGGGAAACGCAGTGGAGAGGAGGGAGGGGGGATCACAGCAATGGGACTTTTGTCAGTATCCACCTCCTAACCTTGTCTCTCTCTTTTCCTTCCACAGAGGACATTGACAAGGATCTTGTGATCTAAACCCCCAGCTTCCTTCTCTGCTGCCAACTTTGTCTATTTTAACCTTCCCACTTCCTTTGGTTTTTAAACAGCTTTTGTTTTGTTTTTCCCTGGGAACAAGGTGCTAATATAGACCTAAACATATGTAGGAATGGTGCTAAGAGAAATAACAGCCCTCATTCATAGCCTAATCTATTACCACTAGATTACTCACTCGGCTGTTTCCACAAGCTTCCACCAGCTCTTTCTCTCTCTGACATGTCTTTACCATTGACTGACCCTGTTCCTGTCCTAAATATCCTCTCTGTCTCAGTATCCGCTCTCAGATCGACTTCTCTTAACAACTTACTAACAGCACGTTCTTGGACACCTCCGCATTAGACACAAAGACCTCTCAGCTGATTCACAGCCCAATATTGACCACCAGCAAGGGAAAGCAGAGCAAGGGAAGGCAGAGGATGTAGGAGGATTGGGCATTTCGAGCAGAGCAGCTGTGGGTGACACTGTGGTCACCCAGCTCGTGGTAGGGGATGGAGAGGGATGAGAAAGATACAGAGCGGTAGGATTTTGTTGCCCCCCTGCCCCATTCCCAGGGCTTGAATTGAACAATCATTGGGCACAAAAAGAAGGGCTAATCAACCAAATGGGTAGGAAAGCGCACAAAATTTAGAACCAATAAGATGAAATGCATCCCACCCTGTAAAATCCTCTCCACCAATAAAGGTTTGAAAGTGCCATGTGCTTTACCATTACTCCATGACCGTACTGCTGTTGTGTTTCCTGTGCTGCAAAGGGCGAGCGGGTGCAGCCGCCTGTTCCCCTGGTGTGTGGGGCTGACCTTGCTGTTGCTGAGACAAAGCTCTTGGCTCTCCCCAAATCACGGTGCCTCTGAGCACTTCCCACCTCTGCCTTGGTTGTGCTCGAATTCCAGCCCAGCTGTCCCAGGGAAGCTGTGTCAGTCTTGGAAGGGACATTTCTGCATAGAGAGAGTTGTGCTTGTCACGTGCTCGAGGGAAAGGCTGTGGTTTATTTTTCCTGTTGTGGATTTGGGGGTTTAAGGGATGGGTGGGAGGAAAGGGAGAAGATATTAAGGTATTTGGATTTTGCTTTATAAAGAGTGTCCTGACAGGAGCGAAGGGATGGTTACGTCTCGCAGGCTGAGAACTCCTTTTTTTACCTCTGAATGTTCCCTGTGCCTTATATTATTAAATTCCTGCCACAGTGTGAGCAACTTGATGAGCCTCTGTAATAAAAAATACTGATTTGAAACACTGACAATAAATGAGCTTGCAATGTTCCTCTGTTTTGTCTCATCCCAACAAGGGGGATTGCACATGCATCACCAACCTTGTGCACGTGTTCAAGTTTAATAGAAGTATCCTACGCACAGGGAAGAGTCTGGTCAGGGTGAGATGAGGTGCTCCTGCCAGTCACAGCCCATCCCCTCACTGTAAATGGGCTCCTTGGGGTATATCAGATGGGTAATACCTAGGCAGAGGGAGGCAGACAGGGTCACTGCAGCAGCCAGCACAGACACGCACATGGATCTAAGGCCCTTGCTTTAATGAGCAACAAAATCCCTGGGAAAGGTGAAGAGGCACAACAGTAGGAAAATAAACACCACCATTTGCATGGGCTAAAAATACCCACATTGCAAGAGCTCTGGTTAAGCTGTGAGGTCCCCTGCCAACAGCCCCTGGCTGGATGTGCTGTGCTCCAGGCAGAGCTGTAGGTTGGATCCTGCTCATGGTCTCTCCTGGCTGCAGAGCCCTGAGAGGGTCCCACTGGGGATGGTCACTGTGCCACTGCCGTGCCAAGCTGTTTGAACTCAGTGGGAAAGCTGATGGCCAGAAGGGCCAAACAAAGGTTTTCCCCCCTGCCTTGAACCCCAGGAGTCATTCCATGCAGCCACACTGCTTCCCAGAGGAGCCATTAACCAGAGAGGGGTTTCTCACCGGAGATGCAGCAGATGCCACCTTGGAAGGTGGAGAGGGGGGATTTGGGCATGAAAAGCATGGGAAGGCAGGCAGGACTGAAGGAGATCAGCTGCCCTGTGTGAACCTGCTTTCCAGTTGCTCCCTCTCAGCCAGAAACTCCCACTCATGCTCCTCCGCCAAGACACAGATACATTCCTGCCAGCTCCAGCCCTCCCCGCCAGCACTGCCGGACAGCAAGGGAAGGCTCTGCAGCCCTCCTCCCCTCTTGGGCAGGAATCAGCTCTAAACCCGAGCAGGCTCCACCAGGAGAGCCAGTTATCATGGCTCAGGAAGGCAATGGGATCCATCTCTATGTCCATGTCCCATCCCAGGGGATGATACTCATGTCCAACAGCCTGGCAGAGCCCAAAGGACCCCCAACTCAGTGCTACCTACAAGTGCAGCTATCCTGGCTTTAACTCATCATGCTCATCCTGAGCATCGAAGTGAGCTCAGGAGGTTGCTGCTGGGCCTTCCTTAACCCTTCAAAGGTCACAGCCTGAAGTCTCAAGTTGCTGGAATTTCACTGCCTTGGGGCTAATGCCATACATGGGGTTACATCAGGACTTGAGGAATAAGCTGGCCTTTTTAAGCTTTCAGACCCAGACGGTCAGCAAGGGTGGAACAGAACAGCCCTTCCCCTGTTACAGCTGAAATCGAGCTTTCCAGTGCCTGCACAGAGCTTGTACTTTCCAAGTGGAAATTCTCCTTGTGGTTAGTGCTGACTGAGGACATAGTTTGCAAACTTGAAAAACAGAGAAAAAAATAACAGAGATTGGGGTCCAAAACCAGCCCGACACAAGCACAACCTGACCCCAGTGCTACAGTACCTCTGTAGGCAGACGTGGTTAATTTTGCTGTAGTTACTCAGGACAGCACAAGGCAGGAGCTCACTGAGCATTGCCCTGCATCCGAGAGAGAAGATGCAAACGACAAAGATTTGTGTAGGGATTAGTGTTTTCCTGACCCTTACTTTTACAAAAGAAACAAACTATGGCATAAATGCTGCATTAAGGTTTCTGGCTTAAATATTTATGCGGGGGATGCAAAAAGGTGACACTCTAGGAACACTGATCACTCCAGTCACATGCCTAGGGACAGCCTGGACTCCAAGGCTCACTGTTTGCAAGGTGTAGTTGCACCCAGAGATGTTTCTGCTCTAGCAAACGGTGCCGTGGGAAACCCACAGTGTTAAACCGATGTGGAGGCTGGTATTTCGCATAGTCCTGAGCCTGGTTCTGCAAAGAAGATTGGGCCATGTAACTGAAGGCTTTGACCCACATTCAGCTGGCCCACAGTGGTGGGGTTGATAGAGTTTCTTTTGCTAGTGCTCATGTATCTCACAGCAGCTGAAGCACAGCCGGACTTGTTGATGGGGGAGCTCATCACGATCTGTTCCAGCGTGGGTCCATCCCTTGGCAGCGCCACCACCTCCGCCCGTCTGCCCTGCTCCAGGTCGTGGAGCAGCTCCTGAACTGCCCATATCCACTGCAGAGCCTTCTTTTGGCTCAAACCACCCTAAGTAACGCAAGCTCAATCAAAACAAACCCAGCCTCCAGTGGAGAGAACTCCAGGGGAAAACAATTCGGGGGATGCAGCTTCCTGCCTGGAGGAGGAGCAGGAGGGAGGTAGAAACCCTTCGCACGCATCCTCCTCCTGCATCCCGGCGCGGCAGCAGCGGCGCGGCGCGGCCGGCGCGGGGAGCGGCCAGGGCAAGGGACGGAGCGGGGTGGGATTGGACGGGGAGTACCGGGGTAGGAGCTGGGGTCTGTGTCCGCCGCGCTGGGCCAGGGACCGGAGGAGGGACCCGCTCCCATAGGCGCATTGCCCAGCCCACGGCTCTCCCACTCGCAGCCGGGCATCTCGGCAGCAGCGAGATAAATGCAGCCCTGCTCCCTTTAGCGGCTACATCCCCACCCCGCTCAGCCATCCCAGCCAAAGATGCCCAGACCACCTCCAAGCCTTCCCAAAGCACACCACTTTTTAGTCTAAAAAACACACGGCTTCTGTGACGCGTTGTCTTTTGTTGAGCTGCCTGCCTGCCTCAGTACCATTCCATTATTTTAGCCTACTGGCTCGTCTTAACTTGATTCAATGGGGCATAAAACTGCAAAGACATCACATTCCTTCAGGTAGGCTTAAGACAGAGCGAGGACACACACATACAGACAAGCACTGCTGCACAATGATGCTGAAGTCAAATAAGGTTCAGCCTGCCTCCCAGATGCTCTCATGCCAAGGTAATTGCACAGTAGATAATTATTTGTGCTGGGGACTATCCGAGTTTCTGCACTGGCCACGGGGAGGTTACGTTGCTTTCTATTTCATGGCCTACCACACAAACCATGGCCATTTCCCAATTAAGCCCACTTTTTGTCAGCCTCAGTATTGCGCTCCTAAGAATCACAGAATCAGTTTCTGTGATTCTTGGGAAATATCTCGCCCCAGGATACATTTTTATGTGCGTTCCCTACATTTTTCTTAATTTCATAATCCTTTTGATCACTGCCTCAGTTGGACCCAAAGGACTATACAAGTCTCTTGTTATTTCTTGTCTAAACACCTCACTGATCACCTTTACCGCCTCAGTTTGAGACTTCGCTGCTGTCAGCTACAGGGCTGAAATTCCCCATGCACAAAGCCAGGCCTGACCACAGCACAATGGCAGCTGTCTGCGGCCTGCCCAGGGCAGTCACAGCACCATAGCCATGCCCGATGGGACAATCCCCAGTGGCTGGGGCTCATAGGGCATTCCATAGCCAGGAGGAGTGTAAAAGCAACGCAGGACTGCTCAAATGAGCATCCAGTGCTGACAAGCCATGTGGTGCATTTCCATCCCATGAAATGAGGGGTCTATTGGAATCCAAATGCTCTTTCTCCACCAATGCCAACATGCCCAGAAAAATTGCTTTGTCTCAGAAGTGCCCATGCTCGACACTGTCTGGAATCTGTGTTAATATCTGGGGCAAATATCACCATGTGTTTCCGATACTCCCTCTCCCTGAAGCATCTGCTGTTGAGTGCAGAAATGAGTCAAGGCACACCTTTGGTTTGACCCATGTCCTCCTACTCTTCAGCACTAACCACATCTGCAATCATGCCCTGTCTGCTTGGGCTTGAGCAGCAGGATGCATCCTGCAGAATTCCTGTTGTTTCCTCCTGGTTACGGTGTCCCTAATGAAATCCTTATCTACCATCAGATGATTCCTCCATCACTTAGGAGCAAGCTCCAGGTTTTAGCTCTGGTGCAGATTTTCATGCCCTTCAAAGAGCCATTCCCTATTCTGAGTACTGCCCACATGCAGTCTGTTTGGTGAGCCTTTATCCTGCTCCACAGGAATAATTTCATTTTCCTTTACAGCTTGCTCATCCAGGTTGGATGCTGGAGTATTTTACTTAACATGTCTTGTTTGCATCCTTCTCCTTAGCCTGGCACCTGATGAACTACCTGTGGCAGGAAGAAACACGCTGTAATAATCAGAGAGGAAATCTGGAGGGCTCTGGTTCACTCCTCAGAGGCAGATGCCCATATTCCTCACACATTAACCATAACACAAGGCCTGTGCATACAGATGCTCTCAAGTCAGTGCTGGCAGACTTCAACCCCCAGCCATGGAAGCTCACTTCCCCTGGAGATCTTGGCATGCTGGACAGACTGGCAGGAAAATGAAGATAATATTCCCTCTCTATATCAAAGAGCAAAAGGGAAGGGGATGAGAAGACCGTGCTCCTCTCCTTGGCTGCCTCTGCCTAAGAAATGGCAAGGGTGAAAATGC